CGGAGCGGCGTTCGTCAAAACTCCGTGCGGGGAATAGAGACACGTGTAGCGGCCATAAATGAGCAGAAACCGCGGTCGGTGCACCGACTCCTCTCCGCTCCGCTCGCCTCCTCTGAGCGTCCCGTCCGACCGGGAGGGAGCGCTCCCCGCCGGCTGCTGCAGGATGCACGCAGCGCCGCAGGGCTGTAGCTGCTCCCCGCAGCTGCGAGCGGGCTGATCCGCTGCTGCCGCGCTGTACCGGGTCACTCCGAGCTGAACCGGGTTATGTGGATCCAGCGGGACAGGGAGAAGAGGAGGAGGAGAGGGAGGAGGAGCTGTGGAGATAAACAAACAAACACACAAACAACAGGCGACAGACTAAACTGATGCAACTTCTGGAAAGTCTGTGAACCCAGCCGAGCCGAGCCTAGCCGAGCCACGCCAAACCAAACAACCAAACAAACAAGCATACAAACAAACCAACAGAGAGGGGGGGGTTGGGGGGTTGGGGGGTGAAGCCGGTGAGCCGTGCCAGGTCTGGACCGCAGTTTTTCTATATGGATTTATCCCAGCCCTCCTGGTCCTGGTCCTGGTCCTGGTCCTGGTCTGATGGTTCATTCATCTTTAATGCTGCTGGAGCCGCCGACATGAAGCAGTAAAGTTTCTCACGTGCACTTTTCATATTGGCAATGGTATGACTATAATGAATCTAGGCTTATATATGCAGTCATCTAACTGTCTATAATCTATAATTGGATTGTTTTATCCTGCAGCACTCTTATTGTTGTTCATTAATAGTTAATTAATTATCATTCATTCATTAATTATTAGCATAAGATGATAGTAGATAGTGTGTTTTTGAAGTGGTGAAGGGGAATGAATGCAGTGAAGAAGCGCGTTCTCGTGTGGGTGTACACGACGGGACTTTTTTCTCTCTCTCTTTCGCCTTAATTTGCCGTCCAATCAGACGCGGCTCTGACGTTCAAATTCCTCAGTTTCGTCCAATTGGAGCGCAGTCAGAGATCGAAACGATGACGTTGCGGCTTGTAACTGGCCCATGCGGCAGTTGGAGGCGGTGTAAGAGGATCGTATTGAACAAAATGATGCTGTATTACAAGTGTGTGTGTGTGTGTGTGTGTGTGTGTGTGTGTGTGTGTTGTAGCTACACTGTTATGAAGTTGAGTGTGGTTTAGGACATTTTATCTCATTATTATTCCTGCAGGAGTTAAATTACGTTTAAAGAGACTCAGTTATAATCTCCAGCCTATGATGTGAATGTAAAGCTTCTATAATACTCTGTAGGGGTTTATTGTGACTCTATTGGACTTTATTGTCCTCTATGGAATTTCACTTCCTGTTTTATTTATTGGAGCATCATAAAAAGTGTCCAGTCTGACAGGTTAGACATGTCTGTTATTTCGCTCTTCTGTCTTATATCGACTTTAAATTATTGACAATATTCCTGTAGGGATTTAAAATGCCACATTTTACTTATTAAGTGTAAGATTTATATTTATTCCTTTAATTGCCCATAATGTTGATATAACATCCCTAGATTATCCCTGTAGGGATTCCCAGCGTGTCTGTATTATTATCTTACCTTTTATAACATTCAGGATATTTCTCTAATCAGCTGTCTGTATTCATAGCAACTCAATCATATTTATCTTAATGCATTATCACTGCAGTGATTTATAAATTGCCAGTTGCATTTATTGGTCAGTTTGTTGTTTATTTTATTACATTTTTTATCTCTCAGAATATCGATGTAAAATCTCTGGAGCAGCCCAGTGAGGATGTGGAGTGTGTCTGTGGTACTGAGTATAGATTTAATTCTCCATCATGGTCGTTTAATGTCCGGTAATGTTGCTGTGATGTTGCTGTGATGTGTCTCTGGGCTTCAGTGTGTTTGTGGGGAGTTTATCAGGATTATGGTATTTTATCTTTATAATATTCCTGCACCCTGAGGTGCTCCGTGGTGACTTTGCTGTGTTTCTGACCTTTGTATCAGGCTGTTACAGATATTTTTTACCCTCTACAGTCTATGATATTCCCACTGTCCCTCTGTAGAGTTTTACAGTGTGTCTGTGGTTCTTTGTGCTGATTTATTTTTCCTCTTGAATCATCGTTAATGATCCTATAGGGACATTTGGAGTGTCGGTGGCTTTACAGAGGCTTTATTGAATTTTGCGGTAACTCCTATAGCATCTCCACAGACTCATATTCTCATGTCCTTGTAAACTTTTATAGAGTGTCTGTGGTTTTCATGTGACTTTATGGCTCTTCAGTGTTTTAAAATCTCTGGATTTTTCAGCCTTTTTGCTTCAGTGAAGCTTTAGAAGTGAAGCGTCGTGTCCATTGCTCACTTCTTTTTTATCATGTGTACAACTTCCTCTAACAGCTCAGATCGTAAATATCATTAGCTGATATTTTTGATCAGTTTTGCTTCTTTCTGCATGATTTACAGTAAACTCAGCAGCCTCTGAACTCCTGCCTGTATGATGTATAGGGGGCGCTGTTAACTGGCTCCGTTCACCTCTCAGCTCCAGTTCACCAGACGCTTAATAACAGTGGACCCTCACTGTGATCACCCTGCAGGATATCAGCCTGTCAGACATCAGGAAACATTTTCAGGCATTTGACTTTCCTCTTTTTTTTTTCTTTTTATCGTCAGTACATTTATCTGGCTGTTATTTAATATTCTAATAATTCTGTTCTTAACAAAAAGGAGAACTAGCGTTCAAGAGCTTTTCCTCCAGTTAGCACGTCTGAATACTTTGTTCCACTGCTGCCCGTTTGTCCACGACTGTTGTTCAGGGTCAGACGTTTATTCTCATTTCTATTATGAAAAAATCCAAATCGAAAAAGGATCTAGTTGCTCCAGGACCAGGGTGCAAAACCGACAAAATATCATCAACATAAAATTGCTGCATCTAAAGCTGAGTGCAAAAAAGTAAATAAAGTTAATATATATCAGACTTAAGAAAAATAAAAACATAAACACCAGTAGAAATAAAAAAAGACAACAGGGACCCTCCCTCCCTCACCCAACCTACTGTTTATACATCAATCTGTGAGTCATAATATAATCTCATATCATAAAACATCACATCATAGAATAATAAAACAGACAATATAATCTGCAGAGTTCAGCAGGTCACAGAGCTGCAGCTTTATATAAGACTGTTACTGAGCTGATTGGCAATATCTCAATATGATCTCACATGTGCCTCATTCATATTATATAAGAGAGTGTGAGTGTGTTATGTAAAAATGATTTGGACTGATTTATGCTCCAACAGCCCCAACAAGAAATAATAATAGTACTACTACTAATGATAATAATAATTAATACTAATAATAGATGGAAACTGGTGGTTTAAAGAGTAATTAAAGTGTCTCCCAGCGGTGAGGGGATCCTGTCAGACCCTCATGGATCACATGGATCTCCTCTCTAGACTCTGTCCGCTTCTTATTGACTTCACTGAAGCGGCTGTTTGTGTGTGAGCGCTGGACCCGGACCCGGACTCAGTCCCCGGGTCTCAGCTGCTGTCAGGTGCCTGCTGGTCACGAATTGACGCTGGATTAGAGGCTGTTTTCCGTCATCATTTGCATGAGAGCGGAGCAGAAACCCGCCTGTGGAGTGAGCGGGACCGAGGCTGAGAGGGAGCGGGGCTGCAGAGCGGACTTGGACTTGATTTAGGAAGAGGCGGCGAGTCACGGTCCAAAGTTTGGCTGAGCCTCAACTTCACCCTCCCGCTGCGGGTTGTTGGATTTGTCCCACTTCTTCCTCCTTAATGCGTAAACTAGCTTTAAAACCCAAACGTTGTTTCCCGCCGTCACAGAGAATCAGATCTGCGGAGAAATGTCCATCTCAGCTAATCGATCGATCAATACCGATCAATAAGCCCTCAGCCTGATCAGTTTCATCTCAATATCCTCTTGAACGGCGGGGTCCCGGAGTACAGCAGAACTCTGCTGCACACACACACTCATAGACTCACACACACACACTCACTCTCACACACACGCGCTCACACACTCGCAGCCGCGGCATCACCGGATTCTACTTGTGAAACTGCGCGCGGAGGATTGATGCCTTTCCTTTCTGATCGATAAGCAGAGTGTGTGATCAGTTTCGGCTCTGCAGGGTCAGTACGCACAGTCTGCGGCCACACACACACACACACACCGACGCAATCCGGCGGCGGAGAGCGCGGAGGTCCCGGTGCTCGGAGCAGTAGACAGGCTGGGCAGAGGAGCGGAGAAGAGGTGGCGCTCGTCTCTGCGTCCGGGACAACACACCGACTCTCTCTCTCCCTCTCTCTCTCCTTCACCGTCTCCTCCTGCTGGAGATAAATTAACGGAAAGCAGCTGTCGGTTGTTTTAGAGGCGAGGCGGCCGTCTAGCAGCTCAGGGATCCCGTTTTGCCTTTTTTTCTTTCTTCCTCGTCAGCTCTCTTTTCCCGGGACTCCGCCGACACCGCTGCTGCTGCACCGCGCCCTCCGTCCCGAGCACCGAGGAGCCCGCACCGCCGCACGCCGGCCACAGCGCACCGCAGGACGGATAGACATGTTGCCGAGGTCCGCCGGTCGCCGTGGCTCTCCGGCGGTTTGAAATGCAGTTTCGGGACGTTGTGGAGGTTTGCATCGTCCGCCACCACCGGCCGCTCTCGCCTCACCCCCGAGCACCGACACCACACCGGGCTGCCCTGTGACTAGTTTCCTCTTTTTCATCTTCTAACGGGACTTTTCTCTCGCTGCCGGAGATGTTCTTGGTGTCTGGGCTGAAAGTTGTGCGCTCCCCGGCGGAGGGCCTCTAACAGGTCCGGACAGTACATGTAACCCGAGGCGGGGTCAAAGTTCAGCCCTGGTTGGAAATGTGAAAGCGAAGGGGGCAAAGGAGGGCTCTATTATCCCCTCTCTCTCTCTCTCTCACTCTGTCTCTCCTTTTTTCTGTTCTTTCCTTTTTACACACACACACACACACACACACACACACACACAGGCTGGAGTTACAGTAACACACACACATAAACACACACACACCTTCCAGATCTAAGATTAGATCCAACAGATATGTATTCTCCGCTATGTCTGACACAGGTGAGTCTGCTTTAAAACTTTTTATTTGTGCTAACGGTGTTTGTTTGCAGCGGAGCGCGCGCTCAGCTCTCCTATAGACTGTTGACTGTAACTCAGGGCCGTATGGATCTATAGACTCTTCCCTATAGTCTGCACTCTGCTGCTCCGCTGCAGCTTCAACTGTCGTCCTCTCTGCGCTGCAGCACATGGCGGCGGACGGCGCCTCCAAACTTCCTTTATCCAAATTATTTAGCACGAGCCAAAATTTCTCTGTGTCGACACTCACGGGAAACTTCTCTGGGACAGAGCGCGGGTTGTTTCCGTGGAGCTTTGAGCCGCTGGCCGCGTGTGTTTCTCAGCGGGCTGCTCCTGCGCTCTGCCCCGGCTGCTCCGCCTGGCAGAAGCCCCGGCTCAGGCTCCTGCTGCCCGGCCAACACAGACCAAAGCTCCGACTCGGTGTTCAGGGGGCAGTCAGTTTTTTTTTTGTTTTGTTTTTTTTTTGGGGGGGGGGGGGGGGGCACCTCCTCCAAAATGTGGATGCGTAAAGTTGCTGGTTATTTCTGTTTTCTTTGCCTCCAAACTTTCCAACTGTGGCCGCAGCCGCCGACACGCTCTGACTTCAGCTGCAGAGAGGGAGGCACATGCATGAGCAGCAGCAGGAGAAGCTTTAACTCGCATTTATAGCTGCGCTACTTTATGACACGGGCTGTTTCTGGGCTTCATATTTGTGCAAAGTGAAGTGGCTTCGTGTAACCTGACGCAGGATCAGTGCACACTGGAGGGGGGGTATATTAGTTTGTCAGCTGCGAGGGTTTCAGCCTCTTCCTCGGCTACTGGTGTTGCAGAGAGCAGGTTGATCCTCTTCTGTTAAATCACTGATCTGATCAAGAATTGCCCCTCTCCTGTTCAGGCCTCACACACTCAGGCCTGACACTAATATGTGTGTGTGCAGAAAAAAACACAAGTTTGTGTGAGAGGTGACCTGAGGTGACACAGCTCCAAACAAAATGATATTTATATGAGCAGATCAAACTGATGATTTATTTCCTGTCTCATCCTAAATTTAAATTATAGTTCTTTGCATATTTATTCATTAGCAACTTAAATTTGACCCAATTTTCCTCTTTAAAAAAAACATTTCTTTACTGCAAGGTTGTGTTCAGGGTCAGAGGTTAAAATAGGATTTTTTAATTGGGTGTGACCTGATGGAGATTTTGCTGCAGATTTTTTGTTGGTAATTAATGTCTTCATCTGCTGAAATTAATTCATTAAAATCTAAATTATAAAACAGAACAAATGACACAAAATTGATCAAATTAGTTTCAATGCCAGTAAATATTTTAATTTATCAGAGTAATACAATTTGAATTAATTAATTTTATTTTGACGATCGCCATGAAATGAAATGTCATTTTTTATTATTTATTACTGAAATACATTTCTTCATTAGAAACAAGAGAACTGCCTGATATTTAATTCGAATAATTCATAATCAGGTGATTTATTGATCCTGTTTGAATAATAGTGAGTCAGTGACAGTGAAAGGAGATCATTCAGTGACCATCAGCTGTGAACGTGTCTCAGATTGTCACATCACCAGCTTCTCCTCTGATTTTTGCTGAATTCTAAACTCAGACACAAAACAATAAAATCCTGAGGCGTCTTGATTTTGTGGTTGAAGCTTTGGTCTGTTTTCAGATGCGTTTGAGGACGATCTGAGCGTCTGAAACTGCAGGAACCAACACGAGCTTTAACGTTTAATCTGATTATCAGGCAGTAAAACCAATAATCAGTCCGAGTCCTGACTGACTGTTGTTTGACAAATCCTGCTCAGTGAGGTCTGAACAGATGTGAGCTTCTTTTTCAATTCTTGATTTGGCAGACGTTTACTCTCTGCTCATTTTAATGACTGGGTTTTTTTTTGTTTGTTTTGCATTAATTAATTTATGATATTTTTGGATATTTTGCCACCATTGAACACAAGTGTGTGCGTCTCTGTAAGAGCTGCTCGTGTTTAATCCAGGGATGCTCGTCTCACTGTTTCAGACTCTTTTATCCAACGTCTGCCTGGGCTGAACACCACGTTTTTATTTGGCAATAAAAATTTAGTGATTAACATTCATTTTAAATGAACATCAGGTAGTGGGAATATTAGTGTTGTAAAACCTCCAGTCAGTTGAAGTTTTCAGGATTTTCAGCTGAAATTTCAGATTTAAAGAAAAAGTGAATTAAACCTGAAATGTTAAGTTTTTTAAGTCGCAGCGTCATGGTCTCGAGGCGTCAGTGAAGTGGCCGCTGTTTACCTCTCAGCCAGGAGGGGGCGCCCTAAAACTAAATCCACTCTTCATTTTTTATCGCAATTTCACTTTTTAAAGATGTCGTTATTTATCGTGGCCTGAAGGTGGAACCTGCTGTTGAATCTGCTGTTTGGGATTTAGTGACATTACGACAAATTTAGCGATGATAAATGACAGATGTAGTGAATCTGTGTTGTCATGACGCTGTGATGAAACCAGGTTGTTGGCTGCTGTTGCAGGTGTCGCTGAACTTTTCTCCTGTTAGCGCTTTGGTAGTTTGTTCTTTTGGCATTTTGAGTTTTTATTGATTTGAAAGGGAAGTTGCCGGATGATGTCGGAGTGCTATGGTTTAGAAAATGGATAAATCCAGAAATAAACAAAAGAACCAAACAGAAATGGGAGATTAACCCAACGCATCCACAGATGAATGAATGAGAAACAGGCATTGTCTTTCCATTTTTTCTCCTCTTTTTTTTTTTTTTTTCCAACCAAAAAGAGGTTTCGTCTTTTAATCTGCTGAGCTTGGCACATTTTGTTTTATTTGTTTACTTATAAACGTAAATCAGGATTAAGAGGAACTGTTAAATCTAACTGTTCACCTACGACTTCCAAAACCACAAGCTCCAAAACCACAAGCTCCAAAACCACAAGCTCCAAAACCTTGACCACGACTCATCTGACTTGAGTAGACTCCTGTATCTGATGGAGATGAAGGAACACTCCCGTGTCTCTGCTGCTGCATGTTCTGCTAAAATGTTTGTTCATTGCTCAGGCTCAGATTCTTTGCTTTTAGTGGTGAAGTGGTCTGTCTGGTAGAGGGTGGGTGTGGGCCCTCAGAAAGACCTGCTCCAGCTTTGGCCCTGGTTTTTGGCTCTCAGATGATGGAGACTTCTCTTTAAATGATGTCGGGACTTTGGTTGAGTCCTGGGCTTCTTGCTGTTCCGGTTTGTCTAAACCTCCTCAGTCTGTTTGGTGTGGTCGAGACTACTGCCCTCCTCTTCCTCCTCCTCCTCCTCCTCCTCCGTCACCCGCCGTTAATGGTGAAGCCTCGGCGGCCTGGTCGGGCCTGCTGCGGAGCTGCTGAGCCCGAGCGACACGCCGATAATTCCCTTAGTGTGTCGGTGTGGGTGTCAATAGACTTGGGGGAGGGGGGAGGGAGACAGGGAGGATTACCATTATTGCTCCCCTAAATGACTGTTATTCAGGGGGTTGTTGTTACAGGCCTGTTATTTGGAGCCCATTACATCTGTCACCAAGGTGCAGAGGGGGAACGTGTAAGCCTCAGTCCGGCTCTCAGGCGCTCAGACTCCCCTCGCAGGTTTAGAAACGCTGATTTCCTCACAGGGAAATCACTGAAAGAAAGAATGACCCCAAAAGAGGCGAAGAAAGAGCCCCAGGGAGCCGCGTCACACGTCCGCCGCAAAACCTCCTCGCCACGTTTTAACCAGGCGCCTTTTATTGAGCACCGAGGTCTGCAGGAAAACATCGTACCAGGGGGATGAGACGACTTCCACCTGTTTTTAATAAAGCAGCCTGAATTAAGAGTCGTGTTCCTGACACAGACGCAGCAGCCTGTTTGTGTCTGCAGCTTTAAGATACAGACAAATTACCCACTAAATAAATTCCAGAAACAAGAGAAAGTGCTCTGGGAACAACACTGGGATTATCTCAGACCAACTGGTGGAATTTTTATTTGTTTGAAAAAACAGAAACAGACCAGATGTGAGGAGAAGTGACTTGTTCGTGAAGAACTGCAGAGCTCAAGTCAGCACAGCAAAAAAAAAAAAAATCAACATAAAAACAAAACATAATGTAGTGTTTAACAGAAGCAGAAAAAACATGTGTCCTCAAAACCAGCCACAAAACGTCTGTTTGTGGAGATAATTTAAATTTTCCAACACAAATCAATATTTTCTCCTGTAAAGGGTCGTTTCCTCAATTTCCCATTTCCATTCCCACAATTGCTTTGTTCTGTCTTATACTGGCTCCATATGATCCTGTTTTAGATATAGGACAATAAGTCTTCGTTAGTGAGTGATAAAATATTACATTTTAATAAAGTAAGCACCACTAGATTGAGATAATTTTATATTTCCAGTAAAATCAGCTTCTATCAATAATTTTCTCGATTCGTTTGAAGCTGTTCGCTTTGTTTTTTCTCATTTCTCTGACATTTCCTGAAAAAGATTCATCGTCTGACCAAAAAGGCTGAATTTGATTTGAAGAAACTGAATCTGAAACTGAAGTTTTAAAAACTCAAAATTATAATAAAACTACAGAAGTCAATGAGTTAACAAAAAAAAAAAAAACATCCATTAGTTTGACATAATTTCATGTTTCTATATAAATAAAGCTCCAGCAGTTCAGTGATTCTCTGGAATCATTTTCTCAACACAGGAGCAGAAACAGGATTATTTAGCTTCAAGACACATTTCAGAAAACATTCCTGAGTGGAGGGAAGCTGAGAACAAGAGGGATTATCTCGCCCCGCCGGCAGAGCAGCGCAATTTTTAAGGCTGAATATGAGACCAAGTGACTTGTTAAGTGGGATTTTGTTTGCGGTGGACGGACAAAGTGTGAGAGAGCGGCGGAGGAAACCTTGGCGGAGGACAGTGTGAGCGGGTCAGGAAGCTGAAACGCTGCACTGGGCTGTGAGGAATGTTGGTATGTGGCTCCAACGAACATCCAGAGCCGCCGAGCTGCAGATCCACTGTGGAATGTGTGTGTGTGTGTGTGTGAGTGAGTGAGTGAGTGAGTGAGTGTGTGTGTGAGTGGTTGTGTGGAGACGAGGCTGAACACATCATCCGTCCAGCAGCCGCTCGTCGTCCTAATAACCACCCGAGGACACACACAAACAGAAACACATCTCGCTTGGAACAGAAACCACAAATAACAAAAGGCGGTGTTCTCGCCGTCCTGGAGTGAGATTTCAGAGCTCAGAGAGCGGCTGCAGGTTGGCTGCAGAGCTGCTGGAGGCGCTTTTGGAGACAAACCCGTTCGCCTGGACCGTCTCCAAGAAGAAACAATGTGCTGTATTCAGACCCCTTGACAAGGGAGGGTGAACAATGTTATATAAAAAAGAAAAGCAATGCAGCTGGCGCTCTAATGCACAGCCTGTAGATATGGTTTCCTCTTCAGTGTGAGAGCTGCAGGTTTCATCTGACGTAAAGATTTGCTGACACCACAGCTGCACAAAACTCCTCCTGAACTTCCTGTATTTTTTTTATTTTTTTTTAAATGTTAAACCCAGAAGATTCCTGAATAAATAAAAGATCATGAAACTGTGTGAAACTTCACACTCAGACAAGCGGTGATTTTCTTATAGGCTACAAGCTCTGAACTAACAAGACCTGAGTATCTACAGGCTAATGAGTCTGACTCCTCTGAGCCGACGAGCTCCACTGTTTCCAGAAACCATTAAAACCCTGTCAACACTGTAGATTTACATTCAATCTAGTTAGAGAACCAAACGTGGATTAATCCGCTGCTGAAAATAGTCCCCAACAAATGCTGTTTGTTTTAAGGAAAGCTACAGTGAGCAGCTGTTTTTTAAAAAAATGTAAGAACCGGAACTCTTTGTTTGTGAGGTTGAACCAGTGGGCTCAGAGCTGAGAGCCAGAAACAGCAAAATATACAACACCACCAGACTGGTGCTTTAACTCTATATTGAGTCATTAAAATCTTGTTTTTATGGTGAGATTTTTCAACCTGTTTCCAACACAAACCACCTGGTTTCAAGGACTTTCTAGAAATTAGCATCAGTAGATTGTTGCATCAGCATCAAGTAATTCACTCAAGAGTTTTCAAACCTTTGTTAAAATAAGTGGAAAAAAAACTTGTTCCTAAATCAGTTCTGGTTTCAACAGTTTTCTGAGACCAGTTCTCGTCGGTCTTGATTCTAGAGCAGAGACCGGGACGTATTAGAAGAAGACGAGGTTTTTGAACAGTTCAGTTCACTGACGAACAACTTGTGTTCAACACCTTTCTAAAGCCAGCTTTGATTGTTCTTGATTCTGTAGGTGAGACATGTTGAAATCTTCTCACCGCAACTCGCTGCATTTTTCTTTCACTCGTCACAAAGAAACAAGGTTTTTATAGACGTCTGTCTCCACGTGCACTGACAAAAAATATCTCACTCTGTTTGTGTCAGACTTCAACACAATTAATCTGTGGTTTTCAGTTCGAAATCAAAGTGTCTGTAAAGAATTTCACATTTTTAACTTCACTGATCAAATGTTCTTGACTTGAAGTGACTCGGTGAGGAGGTTTTTGTGGTGTACCTTCATACAGCAGTACACGTGTGTGTGTGTGTGTGTGTGTGTGTGTGTGTGTGTGTGTGCAGCTCATAATATGGTATCCACATGCCACCCCAGTCAGAGGCATTTGCACGTATCAAGATGTGTGAGAGCCTCTTTGATCTATGAATAGTCAAGTTTTTTTTTTTTTTTTTCAAAACGGGGCTCAGGGAGAAGGAAGGGGGAGGAGGGGAGCAGGAGGAGAGAGGAGGGAGGAGGGCCTCCAGCCTCTCCCCCCTCCCGCCCCCCTCGTCCTCATCCCCCCGTCCTGCTCACTAACCCTCTGAGGGGTTTTATCCAAATAAGAAATGTTCCATGAAGATGTTTTGTGTCCGTCTGTGTTTTTGTTCCTGCTCTTTTTTTCTCGTGGTCTTCGTCGTTTCTCAGTGACGAAGCTGTTTTCCTGTTACTCTGTTTTTCTGTCTGTGTTTACACGAACAAACTGAAATGACAGGTTTTTCACCGAGCTTCGCCGCAGACGAGCATCCAGCGCCTCAAAACAACTTTCAATGCAAAAAGAAAACACAACAAATATTTACAGGGTCACACCAGAGTCTCTGCACGCTGTGGCACCTTCATACAGTAACTACAGAGCTCATTCACTTCACTGAGCTGTTGTTCAAAGGGCTACAGATGAATGTCTGTGGTTTTTCCAGACTTTGATTTCCATTTACTTCCATTTATTCCAACATGTCATAGATTTAAACTGATATTAGACCGATTTTAAAAAAAAAAAAAAAAAAAAAAAAGGGGGGGCGGGAATTTCAAAAAAAAAAAAAAGTGTGTGTCGGATATTCAGATAAAAAACAACAGGAACGTCAGTGCGATGACATTTGAAGTCTTTTCATTCTTTAGTGAAATGAATAAAAACCAGTGGCTGTGGGTGAAAATCACCAGTCACATAAAGGTCACATGGTTTGTGGTAAATTAACTAAAATGGGAACAGACTCTGGTTTAATGCAGCTGAATTATTATTTATCATCCGACAACTTTTAATCAAACATGTTCATATTTCTGAATCTGAGGTTTTGGACGAAGCATCATGTCAGTGTCTCGTCTCCACGAGTGTTGAGGCGTTAGAAATGATGAACAGCTGTGGAGATGGAGTGACCTGTTGCAGGAGCTCGTTTCTATAAAACTCCTAAAACAAGGACAGAAATGAAAATGTGTTCCTCAGACTGAATTTGAGACGTTTTCAGCTGCTCAGCGTCGCTCTAAAAACCTGAAATTACAACTCATCAGTCTGGATTCTGTTTTTATCACCTCCACACGCTGTGATAACATTCTAACATTTCAATTGTGTATTCCTCTCTGTTACGTGTTCCTGTAGCAGCTTGTCGTTCATCGTCTGAGTGTGTGTGTCTTGTGTGTGTGTGTTGTGACTCACAGCAGTAAAGATGCTGGTTCAGGTCCTGGCTCAGAGCGGTCTGGATAAGCTTGGTTTTGTGGTGGTTTTGTGGGTTGAGGAGGAGGCGGAGGGAGGGGTGGGGGGGTGGGGGCAGGTGTAACCAACCCTGAACTGGGTCTAATCCACGACATGCCGTCTAACCACATTCCCGCCCTAATAACTGTACAGCTGTGATCAGCCTGAAGCCCCATAATGCACCTTTAATACACCTTTAATCCTCCTCACCGGTGGAGCTGTTTGTGCTCATTCGGTTTCCCTCCGCTCAGCCGTCGGCCTCTTGGTTGGTTGTTTGTTTGGTGTGTTTTTGGTCAGTTGGTGTGTTTTCTTTTTTTTTGGGGGGGGGGGGGGCTGACAGACCCCCACAGACCCACATTCCTGCCTGAGAGCCAAGAAAGAGGCGAGACAGGCTGAGCTGACACTGAGGAGTCTGTGTGGTTCAGAGAGAGACGCTGCTGCAGCCAGAGACCTGAGACTAGAGACCAGAGACCAGACTAGAGACCAGAGACCAGACTAGAGACCAGAGACCAGGGACTAGAGACCAGAGACTAGAGACCTGAGACTAGAGACCTGAGACTAGAGACCAGAGACTAGAGACCAGAGACCAGACTAGAGACCAGAGACTAGAGACTAGAGACCAGAGACTAGAGACCTGAGACTAGAGACCTAGAGACCAGAGACTAGAGACCAGAGACCAGACTAGAGACCAGAGACTAGAGACTAGAGACCAGAGACTAGAGACCAGAGTCTAGAGACCAGAGACTAGAGACCAGAGACCAGAGATCAGAGACCAGACTATAGACCTGAGACTAGAGACCAGAGACCAGACTACAGACCTGAGACTAGAGACCAGAGACCAGAACTCTCCTTTTCTTTGAAACAATCTATGATGAATCAGTTTATTATTTTTTATCTGAATTCACTTTGTTAAATTTGTTTTCCTTCCTTTCTTCCGTCCTTTACTTCCTCTTCCTTCATTTCTTTTTTTCCTCCTTCTTATTTGCTTCTTTTCTTTTTTCCTTCCTGGTGTCCTTGCTACCTCCCTTCCCTCCCTCTTCACTTTTTCTCTTCCTTCCTTCTATATTTCTATATTTATTTTCTTGTTTATTTCCTTATTTCTCTCCTTTCTGTCATTTTGCATCTTTGTCTAAAAAATCTACAAAACCTGATTTTTTTTCTCTGCTTTGCAGCTTCTGTTTTCTATTTTCTTTCACTGACTTTTATTTTGTAAAATCTTTAAAACAAGTGTTTTTATCAGTTCTGGTTTCAACAGTTTTTTAGGATGTTTGTAGGATGTTACAGCCTCCTGTTCTGCAGCCAAACTTTGGCTTTTTCTAGTGGACGTTTCCAAAGACACCAAATCTGTCAGGATGAATTTTTATCAAACTCGTCCAAAATGATGCAGAAACACCGAGAATGTTTTATTCGATGGTTCAGCTATAAACGGTGGAGACTGTGGTTGGAATATTTTAGCTTCAGTAGAAGAACATATGTGTGATACAGTCAGTTATAGTGGAATAAAATGACTGTTGTGATCATAAAGTGACTAAAGGTGAAAGTAAACTGTATTTTAAGGTTTAACTTGTTCGTCCCTCTCACCGTGTCTCTCCTTCGTCCTCCAGGATGAATTCCATCCTTTCATCGAAGCCCTGCTGCCCCACGTCCGGGCCTTCGCCTACACATGGTTCAACCTGCAGGCTCGCAAGAGGAAGTACTTCAAGAAGCACGAGAAGCGCATGTCCAAGGAGGAGGAGCGTGCCGTGAAGGACGAGCTGCTCAGCGAGAAGCCCGAGGTCAAACAGAAGTGGGCGTCCCGCCTCCTCGCCAAGCTGCGCAAGGACATCCGACCCGAGTTCAGGGAGGACTTTGTGCTGACGGTGACGGGGAAGAAGCCGCCATGCTGCGTGCTGTCCAACCCCGACCAGAAGGGCAAGATGAGGAGGATCGACTGCCTGCGCCAGGCGGACAAAGTGTGGAGGCTGGACCTGGTCATGGTGATTTTATTCAAAGGGATTCCCCTCGAAAGTACTGACGGGGAGAGGCTGGTAAAGTCTCCTCAGTGTTCGAACCCCAGCCTGTGTGTGCAGCCGCACCACATTGGAGTTTCAGTCAAGGAGCTGGATCTGTACCTGGCCTACTTCGTGCACGCAGGTCAGTCCCTCGCTTTCTTCCTGTTGGCGTGTGTGTGTGTGTGTAAGTGTGTGTGAGTGTGTGTGAGTGTGTGTGAGTGTGTGTGTGATGCTGCGTTGGTTGTTGTAAGAGGTTGCAGCCTCTGAGAAACTGCACAGGTGATCTGTGCGATGACCACACCGACACACAAGCTCAAAGATCACGACACACACACACATACACACCGCCTGCAGATCCACAGACTCTCTGGTTGTTATTATCATTATCATTATTACTATTATTATTATTGTACCCGTTATTATTTCTCTGTGTCTGATTACAGCAGCTTTCCTTTGATTTCCTCGACTCCTGGGTCTGTAGTTGCATCTTTTGAAGCCTTTCAACCCTCAGAGTTCACACCTGATAAACTTTTCATAATATTACAACAAGTCAAAGGAAAAGAAGTTTTCATATACATTGTGGATGAATATATTATTTCTCTGGGCCAGTATTGTCACTCAGGAACTTGCGTGTCACCAGAAAATGGAGCGGTCTGGTATCAGAGTGTGACAGATACATGGACGTGATGATATTAGTTTATTCCAGACATATATTTGTCAGTGTATTAGAGCAGTTTGAATCTGTAGTTGACTCTGTGTCTCTAAATCTCTCAGATGAGATCTCAGGTTTTCATTTAGTCCCTGAATGATCAGTGTTCAGGGTCACCAGAGGGCGGGACCTGCAGAGAGCTGCTCATTCATCCTCATCTGTGTGTTGGTTCATCTGTAAATAAGCTGAAATCAGTGGTAATGAGTGGTAACCATGAGAGCTGTGTCCTGCCTCAGTTTTTGGAAATGAGAAAATCTCCTCCAGCAGACGTTGGTCTTTAATCCTGGGTTCATGCGTCAGTTCAAGACTCACTGGTGAACTTATAATAAAACTTCACCTTGCCTTGTGTGGCAGTCAGCTGGAGGATGTAAATGCAGACGAAGGTGTTATCTGCTGCAGACAGCCATAATTTCATCAGTGGTCAGTAAAGCAGAAGTCTGAGGAGAAGGAAGTGTCTCTGCCAAGAGCTCCTCCTCACGCCGGCTGCCCTCAGCAGAGCAGGTGTGTGTGTGTGTGTGTTTGTGGGTGAGGCTGGCACACCTTTCAGGACCTAAAAAAAAAAAAAAAAAAACCCTCACAATTATCTGCGCGGTGATTGCTCAGCTCCTTTCCTGATTTCCGACTGATTCCAGGAGAAAATGATTTGGCTGGTTGGAGTATCTGAGCGGTGGCAGAGGCTCGTACAGGAGACGTTTGGCAGATGGTTTAAACACTTGGCACAGAGCTCGTTCTAAGTTTGTTGGAGCTTTAGAGTTTTCCTGGAAAAGGAGGACGAGCTCCAGAGAGGCAGGTAAAATTATCCACCGGGTCCAGATTCAGAGTCCGTCACCAGCAGGTCAAAACCGGTCCTTGAACACAGAGTCACCAGAGTTCATCCTTCACTGTGGAATCGGTAGATGACAAGAAACTTCACCTCGTGGTCTATTTAGCAGCTGTTCTCGCGCTTTCAGTCGTATCCCATGATCATCAGCGGCTGCAGAAGCTGAACAATGAAATAAATGTTTTAAAATGGACTCAACCTGTGATTATGGCAAAAATCCTAATCAGGTTTATTTTGATCAATATTGAGATCACAATTATTTAACACTTTTACTCATTGACTTTGGAAACACCACACATTTACTGAACTTGAAAAAAGTGTTTGACTCATGGAGGATTTTCCTCCATGTTTTTGTGGAGGTCGAGGTTCAGCTGTGATCCGTCAGCAGACACAAACACTGAGCTGAGCGCTCTGGAAAGATCTCCGACCCTGAACCTTAATTACAATCATTTCCTCTGGCAGACTGAAGCCTCTCTGAGCCCAAAGACTGCTCCTATTCTGCTGCTCTGGGTCCAGATCGGCTCTCAGCCCCGGTCTGTGTGTTTTCGCTCTGCGGTCGCAGTAATCAGCTGTGTGCAGGTTCACACTGAGCTCCCTTCAGTCGCTGCTGCTCTGTGGGTTTATTCAGAGGTGGACGAGCAGCCGAGGGTCTTTGAGCTGCGATCTCTGACGTGAAGTTGGTTTTATGTTTGAATAAATTGGTTTTGGTTTACAGCAGTGCCTGGTTGTGGTCAGAGACGCAGAGGGGGGGGGGGGATCATTTGTGGTGAAGACAGTAGCAGATCTTCACAATCTGTTTGTGTTTGAATTTTCTCTGCTGCTAAATTTAGATTTTACCTTTTTTAAAAATGTAAAACTTTCACCGCGAGAGCCTGAAGTCTGCTCATGACAGAGTCGCGGAGTTGGCAGCATTTTGTCTCTTTTGAATGAGGTGAGAGGGAGAAGGCCGAGGCTGAACGCCCACAGAGCTCCCTCCTCCCTCCCCCCCCCCGGTCTCGGTGGAGGAGGATCGGGTTTCGTCCTGCCTCTTATTTAAGGCAGCAGAGCTTTTCTGGAGCAGCGGCGTTGATTAAAAGCCATGTGAAGGCGGGCTGACCTCAGGGCTCGCAGGGCCGGAGGCGGGGTCTGTCGGGGCAGCCCGAGCCGGTAATTAAATTCATCCCCATACCACTGACTCAGGGTGGTGGGGGGGTGGGGTGGATAAAGACCAACAGTGTTGCCCTTAGAAACCGCAGCGCACTACCAACCATTTATTATTTAACCCTGTGAACGTGCAGCAGCAGAAACCTCAGAGAGAGAGAGTTAGAGATATTTCAGTTTAGTTTGTTTTCACCTGCAAAGACTGAAGAAGATCATCAGTCTCTGTTCACCTGCTGCTTTCTGTCTGGTCAGTTTTTCTGTGTTTTGACTTTTAAACTTATTCTCGAAATATTAAACAATCAAAGTTAAAGTTTGGAGAAAAATAAAACCTCCTCATGGTTCCGTCTTACTGTATCTCGACGGGAGATGGTGAAGTTTCGTACTGTGGTTTCAGTCTGGTACAGTCGTACTGGAGAGACAACAGACCTTCACACTTTATTTATTTCTAATAAAAGTATTTTTTTTCTCATCATTTTACATTTTACTTCAACATTTTTGGCAGATTTCTGAGAGTTGCTCTAAGTCTAAAGGCCTGAAGTTTTATCACACTTGTCTCTCACCATGAACAACATGAAGATCATTAGATGGACATCGTTCTGTTTTTTTGACTCTTCATTGGACTTGAAGCTGCTTGAACTTGAACTTGGTCTCAGCTGAAGTGGTCTAGACTAACTATAGTTTATACAGGACCAGACTATTGATTATCTTATCTATTTAGTCTATCTGTAATTGGAATCTGTAAATTTATTGTTTTTTTTAAAGATTAAATCACAATATATGAATATCTCTGTACACTGTGAAACTGTGGGTAGAGTATTTTGTCGACATCACTCACTCTTACCAGGAAGCAGTGATTTAAAAAGGTCTATTACTCTTTCTGTCTATTACTGAGTCTCTGATAGAAATAATAAGAAAAAATCATCATTGTGGAAATTTAATTTGGACATTAAAAGTTGAAGCTCTAATATGAATAGAATCAAACTAGATGTTAAATACAGTCATTTATTTAATTTAACTGAGGAAGTGAAGAAACTGAAACTCTGCACCTCCACAGCTGGAACTACGGTAAACAGCTGGACAGGAAGTGACTGCTGAGTCTCTAACAGGTGGAGCTTTTCAAATTAACAGACTTTCACTCACTGCAGTCGACCATGAACAGACACACACACACACACATACACACACATGTACACACACACACACACACACACACACACACACACACACACACACACACACACACACACACACACACACACGGGCAGCAAACCCTCCATTCATAGGTCTGAGCATTTGCTGTGAGTGTTTGGTGTGTGTGTGTGTGTGTGTGTGTGTGTGTGTGTTCACCCGGCATCCTCAGAAACAAGTTGGGGGGGTTAAAGGTCAACCCTCCCACCCCCCAACCCCTCTGATTTATGAGCTGCCTCACGGCAGCGGCAGCGGCGGGTGTCACTACCGCAGGAACGCTCAACACGTGCTGAAAGGTCAGAGGTGACTGCGTGGAGGTCATGACCCCTATCATCGGGCCATTTAACCTCTAGGATAAACATCTCCCCCCCTCATTAGCAGCCAGTCATGCACACACACACACACCCCCACACAGAGTGTGGAGGCTGTTCTGTGGCGGGAACAAAAGGTGGGAAAAGGTCGACTCTTCCACGTCTGTAATTTAGAGCCATCACAGCCTGAAATAAAGACGTTAACATTTATTACAGATGAGATAATATTTATGTGAGCAGTAAAGTCAATTGTGCATAATTAGAGAGATGGAATCATAAAAGTTTGATAGAAGAGTTTTACATTAACGGTAGTGACTGTGCACAGGAGCAGAGGAGGAGTCAGTCCTCTGACACAGCCTGTCAGTCCTCACACGGGGTTTAGTGTCACCATTATTATACATATATTATACATTTATACATATATTAGTGCTGCACGATATGTAAAAAATAATTAGAATGCAATTGTGATGTTGTGATTGTGATTTCACTGTGAATGATGGTTTTTTTCATTTAATTTTCACTCGAAAAAAAATCTAAAAATGATGATGGAGTGATTTTTGTTGGTCTTGTACCAAACAATCATGTTCCTTTCTGGAGCGTCTCTGTAGCAACTCAACGCTCATGATGCTAACAATGCACAACAATGTGACACATTTTACTTTTATCAAAGAAACTGCAGCTCCTGTCATTTGGATATTGCACTTGACCATATTGAGATTTGAATTATATTTCCATTAATTGTGCCTTGTCACCGAACCAACATTAACTGTCTGCCTCTAACAAGAGCTGAGATGTCTGACTCCTCTCAGCTCCACTGTTTCCACAAACATGAGTGAGTCACACTGTTGAACCGTGAACACACACACTGTATTTTATCCGGACTCAGTCCCACACACACCGTCCTGCTGCCACAAATACATACTACAGCACCAAATGTGGATTAATCCGCAGCTGAAAATAGTCCCCAGCAGATCCACAGAAACCACACTGACTGAGTGTGTTTAAAATGAAACTGTATATTTATGAGGACTGGGACCTGCTCTCTCACTCGGGTTGTTCCGAATCTAAGTGCATACATGTAGGATGTATGTGTTGCTGTGACTGGTCAGAGCAGTGACTTCACTTGTTTGTCAGGTCGGTTTCTGCAGCAGCACAATGGGAGGATATCTGTGTGTCGGTGTGATAACGAGCCGCCGCTCCAACCTACAGAGTGTGAAGGTTTCCAGAGCCGCCGCCGCCACTGCCGTTAGATATTTATCTTCCCGTCACCTTATACAACCCTGCAGCAAACAGCAAGTGTGTGTGTGTGTGTGTGTGTGTGTGTGTGTGTATGTGTATAAAGACGTCTGACCCAGTTCCCTCCGTCCTTCTGAGCTCTTAAAGAGATTTGGAGCTTCGTCTCTGAACTAGTTACTGTAGCTGTGACCAGCCGTCCTCTCAGGCTGCACCACATCCACACACCACTCTCCATCTTCACTTCCTGCAGCCACCGGACCCTCACTCACACACACACTGACACACACTGACACACACTGACACACATTTAACTAAACACACAAACTTTCCTACATAAAACTCACGTCTCTTGTCTTCAGCTCCATCCTTCCTGG